GATGCATGGGGTGGGGGCGGGCAGGGAGGAAGGCCAGGCTACACAGGGGGGGGATTAAAAGGGGGGCACGCTAGGCCCAAAGATCCAGGCACAGGCAGGGTTGGGGACCACGGCTCTCTGAGGCTGAAGCCTGCGTCTACACAACGTGGGCTTAAACCGGTTTTGTCCTCCCGCCCCAAGGCTTGGGAATGGCGGTTCCATAAAACAAGGATTCGGTAGCATGGGATCAACCCCCGGGAAGGGCGTTCCTTTACACCCTTGAGCCCTGGAGATACCCAAGTTCGTGCTGGTTCGGAAACCTCCCTTTCCGGACACTTTTCCCCCTCCAGGGTTTGCCAAACGTCCCTTCCTGATCCTAGAACAGAGAAGGTGGGGGGGTGGGCAAGGGGGAAGAAGACCCAGACCCTCTGGTCTCACCTGGCCTGGCAAAAGCTGGCCCACCGTGGCCACCCTGGAGAGGGCCGTGGGGGGGGAATCGGCTTTGTTTTCCTCTGCCTCTCCCATCCCGACGATGCCGCTCATGGCCCCCAAAAAAGGCGGAAGCGTGCTTGGCGGCGACGCCAAGATCTTAAAAGCAACACAGCTTTTCCAAGGAGAACCGAAGCACAAGAATAGATGTGCATTTCTGGCAGGGAGAGAGAAAGAGAGCCGGAGAGCAGCCGAGGCAAAGGCTGCAGGCACTCCGAGTGAAATCAATCTGGTCCACGGGAGACCGGTGCCAAGGGGGGGGAGCGCCCGGCCTACTTCTCTCCCCCCCCCTCCCTCCTCTCCAGGGATTTTGCTGGTCTTGGCCATTTGCAAACTTTGCTTCCCAACGACGTTTTCCCCCTCCCTCTCCGGAACTGGCAGTGCTGGAGATTTTGCTGAACTAGATTCTGCGCCAGGCGTCGTGCTCAAAGACAGGGAGATCCGGAGGGGGGGGGGGACATCGTTTCGGCCGAGGCCTGCTTTTTTCAAGGCCACGAGGCGCCAACCGTCAAACTCAAGAGCCGGGCAGAGGGAGACCAGGCAGGTTCCTTGGGAGTCGGTGGGACTGGGCGTGGGCACCCAAGCGCCAACGTCCAGGGGCCGGCCACCCCAGGGGGCACTAGCTGCGATCTAGCTCCTTGGAGTACTTGAGATCTGGGGAGCCTGGACGACTCTGATTCCCATCGCCCCCAGCCAGCATCTGGTACCCTTCCCTCTTCACCTGTCCGGAAAGAAAGGAAAGGGCCGTGGGGCTTTGGCGGGTGGGGGACAGGTCTGCTGGCAGTTGTGAGCCTCGGCCTTTGCTTTTGGACATCCAACCATGGAGGGGGGGGTGTCTCCAGCCTGGCCCGTTCCGTTTTTTTCTGGCTCTTCTTGTGTTGGCTTCCTGGACCTACAGAGCCCAGTCAGGCGTTGCTGTGCCCATTTAATGCAAGCACGGAGCCTCTCACGGATTCAGCTGGCTTGAACCCGCCATCCATGTCTCCCCCAACCAAGCTTGTAAGGGAAGCCAATGGCTGTATCTCCCCATTGCAGAGACGGGTCAGCCAAGGGGGTGGCGAAAGGTCAGCTGGATGGCCAGAGGGCTCTGGAGGGGGGTAGCTGGGCAGTGCTTTCTCCCCGGGAGAGCCTCTGTTCCCTTCTCGGCCCCAACAGGCCTCCCTGCTCCCTTCGGGCCCTTCATCCCCCCCTGTCTTGCTTCAGGGTCCCATGTCAGGGGAGAGAAGAGTCCTGTGGGACCCGGAAGCTTGCACAGCAGCCCCAGGTGGGTTCTGTGGGAGACCCTGCTTCCTTTTCCTCAGGGGAGAGAAAGCCACAGCCGCGGACCTGCAGCTGGGAAGGAAAAGGCACAGGAGCTGAGGAGTGAGAGCGAGGGAAGGAGGGAGCAAAGGGAGCCGGGGGGGGGAGATGGAAAAAAAAAGGACAGTTCCCTGATCTGTGGGGTGGAAGGAGAGAGACAGGCATCTGTGTTTCTTTCTCTCTCTTCTTTCTTTGGATAGAACTCGGCGATCCTTTCTGGCCGGACCGATACTCTTGACCAGGCCACAGACGGCTTAGGACTCTGAGTCTCTCTTCCTCCATGCTTCCCTTTCTATATCCCTCACCACCGATGGGCCCTCATTTTCTCTTTGGGGGTTCAAACACGGGGAGCCGGGGCTGGCTGGTGTGCAGTCCAGCAGACCTCTGCCAACAGACCGGCCGCATGGCGCAGAGCCACCCGGCGGGCACCCCCTGTAAGAGTTATGGTCCCTCCGTGGAAATTTTGGCTTCCTTATTCAGCCATGCGCTTGCCTTGTCCAGGGTCATTTTTTGGGGGGTGGAAAAGGCGGCATGAGAAATGCCACGGAGCAGGTGCCCATTGGGTGTGACGTGGGCACCGTGGTGGTTCAAAGGATGATGAACGGGGGGGCCAGGCCTTTTATGGTCTTGCCACCAGAAAGAGAAGATGGAGCGGACAGCGGCTGGGCCTCCACCCACCTCTCCGTCTCCGTCATCCTGTCTGGTTCCCATGACACGACGGAAAGAGGAAATTGGGTTTTTTATCTCTCTCTCTGATGAAGGTTTTAGTCGGCGAGCGGCGGTGAGGTGAGATGTTCGTGGAAAGAGTGGGCGAGGCTGACAGAAGAACTGTCTGAGCAGTTCCTGTAAAAGAGGACCGTCAGCTCCAGAAACACTGGGGTCAAATGGGGGGGGGCTCTTTCTAGCATCAGAGCCTTGGGGTGGTGGGGAGGGAGAGAGGACACACAACGAGGCGGATTGGTGGGGCCGGAAAACGGGAAGTACTTCTGCACCGCACAGAGAAGTAACTCGTGGAACTCACTGCCTCATGACAGACTGGCCTCATTCTGAATCAGCCTGTGACGGAGCGCCAGAACTTATGGAAAGAATGATCATCTTCTTTACTCCTTGCAGCTTTGTCTGCAGAGGTCATGAACTCAGGACTCAGCGAATTTTACTGCCTTCTTAGGACAGGAGGAGGAGGAAATGTTGGTGAGGACCCCCCCACGATCATCTGCAAGACAGCCCCTGATTCCTTCCCTCCTAAAACAGCCTACTATTAGAATTATTGGGTAGGATGCACTCTGCACACGATCAGAGGTAGAAGCAGTAGGGTTTGATTAAAGTGTGGAAATTGTAGCCTCTGGGCCCGATTATATTAATTTATAAATTGAGCAGCAGCAATAAGTGGGAGTCACGGCAACAACACCCTCTGCTGGCCAGCTCTGCGAGGATTATTTATTTATTTGATATGCCACCCCATCAGTGCCAGCACTGGGGTGGTCCGCAGGTAACGCTTAAATCCCCACGAGGCACTACACAACAGCGTGCATTCGAACAGCATGGCCGACACACCGGCTAACATTTGTACAAGACCATTAAAAAAAAAATACAGCATCCCGGAGATTCAATGGTGGAAGGCGGCGTGGAATAATTCTGGTTTTTACCCATTTCCTAAACATAGGGAGGGAAGGAGGCCGCCACATCCCGGCTGGCAATGTGTCCTAGAGGCTGGGAGAGGGAGAAGGGGGTCACCACCGAAAAGGCCCGACTCCTGGTTATGCCGTCTTTTATCAACGTCTTTTGCCCACCGCTTTCAACATGGATTGAGAGCGCTGGGTGAAACGGGGAGCTGATTTCTCAGAGGCTGGTTCTCCAAATCCCAATTCTCTGTTTGATTTCTCCCAGCAGCTTTTGGTAAAGAGCACAGGGGAGATGATCAGCCCCAGGGGGGACCCCCCAACACCACCCCATAGCAGAGGTCCCAAGGGGTAGAGAGATGGGCATCGCCAAGTTGAACGGTCATGATGAAAGGAGCAGAACCATCAAGGAACACTTACATATCTGCCCTCTTTTCTGAAACGTCTTTTTATTGTGGGGTTTTTTCCTCTCCTAAAATCTCAAGGCTCAGGGACTCACCCCCTTTGTCTTTCGGGGGGGGGTTGCCACTGGCCTCTTAGGGCCACCCTGCTCGAGAGAGGCCCATCCTTTGAGCGCCAACAGGCCGGGCTGCCAGGAAGATGGAAGGCAGGCTGCAGGGAGGGTGAGGAAAGAGATCCATGTGTCCCCAGGGAGAGGTAGGCATATTTTGGGGTGTGTGTGGCACCTAGCAGAAAAACCAT